CTTTCTTTCTTTCTTTTTTTTTTTAGGATTTTTTTATTTATGCATACAGAACTGGGGTACAGGCCAGAGGTGAGGGGACAGTGAGAGGCTTCGCCTGAGACAGAGTGGGGAGCAGAAAGGCAGATTGACAAAGTACACTGCTGAGGGGAGCAGCGGGCGGGTCAGGAGAGGTCTGCAGCACCATGTGGGTCACCTTTTGGAGCTGGAATCGAACTAGTGCAAAAGTGGCTTTAGCTTCTTAGTGCTGTGCTTTAACCTGCTGCGCCTTCAGGGAGGGACCACCTTTCTTTTTCTTTCAAGATGAAATCTTTGGAATGTTTTTCTTGATCCATTCAATGGATTTTTTTTTTTAAAGATTCATACAGAACTGGGGTACAGGCCAGAGATGTGGAGGGTGAGAGGATTCGCCACAGACAGAGTGGGGTGCAGAACAGGCAGATTGACGAAGTACACTGCTGAGGGGAGCAGCGGACGGGTCAGGAGAGGTCTGCCACGCAATGTGGTCTCCTCCGGGGGCAGGCGGGAATCGAACTTATGAGGAAGTGGCTTAAGCTTCTTTGTGCAGTGCTTTAACCTGCTGCGCCACCAGGGAGGGCCTCGATGGATTTTTTAATGTGTGACAAAGGGGCACCCAGGGACTCCAAGACAGTGTCGTGCATGTTTTAAAATTGGATCCTACCATTCTTTAATAGAACTGGTGTGCACAGGGCAAGAAGTTGCTGATATGAGTTACCCAATAAAACCCTCAAAATTATAGTTCTCCTGGTCAGCAAATTCTCAACCAAACAAGGTCTTTCAGTAGCAGAGCTGCTGAAGACTTAAAGTTTTCCACAAGTCTAAATCACCTTCTGGCAAGGAACCAAAGAAAGGGGTTCTGAAGCAAGTCCAAGAAAGCTAAAACAAAAGGTAATGGCTGCTGTTGTCAGAATCCCCACGTGCTTTTCCAAATGTTACTAGGAGTCTCTTCTCCATGATCCTCTTTCAATATCTCCTTCCCAGCAATACCAGGATGCAAGTTAGGCCAAGAAAAAAGAGTTCTCTTCTAACCCTCCTTCCTTCCATGCTATACACTTTCACGTGGCCACTAGATTACCCATGGTTAACTGGGATTCAGGACTGGTACAGAATCACTTTATAGATATTACGTTTGCAGTTTAACAAAGAAAAATAGATGCCATATGTAAAATAAGTTGTATATGTAATAGTAAAATGAAAAGGTTACTCTCTTAAATGTTAATAATATGTCCCCATGAAAATTTGTGTTGATTAATATGTCCACTAAGGTCAAAATAAATGTTGTTCTAACTTGAAAAAATATTCATGAAGTTTGTGGAAAGCTGATAAAATTTCTTGAATATATTTGTGTCTTCTGTTGCTATTTGACATCAGTGTGGTCAACTCAATCTAATGTAATGATGGGATATAATCTGATGTGATGATTAAATATTGGTAAATATTGATTAAATATTACTTGTTCAGTAAGTAAGAAAATGAATCTTAGAATGTTTAGCCATACTTAAAAGGGTGACTTAAGCATGGTAGGTAACAGGATCACCTGTTAATTTTGATTTATGCATGACCTCACTGTGCAGTCAGGTTTTTAATATTTTTTGTGCCTTTCCAAATATCTGTTTATCAGCATCTTATAAACATGTGTGGTTGCTTTTTGAAATTGATATCTTGAAGTCATTCTACCTCAGTTGTTCCCAGGTTTCCTACAGTCAGGCTCATGATAATTTCAGTGCTACAATATCAGGATCATTATGGTATCAATAGATTAGAGGAACTCTAGTGGTTAGAACTGGCAGTTTAAGAGGGAATTGAGGTTATTGGATAGGAATTAAACCTAGAGTTTTCAGCCAGCAAGAAAATGACCAAGACAGGCAGAGGTGACAAAGATTTTGGTTATACGTGGTATGAAGGGGTTGACTTGGGTTTAGACTGGATTGGAAAGTAACAAGAACCAGTGGTCTGAGGCAGATATGATGCCTGAGGGCAAGACCTTATCTTACTTTGAGGAATTTATTTAGAGGAAGGAACCAGAAGTTTAAGAGTAGTTTGTCGTAAGAAAGTATTTCAGTAAGATACGGAGTTAGTTTTACTTTCCTTTGGGCTGAAAGGAATTATTTGCATGATTATGGTTTATGATCTTTCATGGAAACATTTAAATAGATGTATATTTTATTAAGTAATAATTCGGTTGACAGAATTTATTGTAAGAAACCAAAGAAATTTCAAAATAAATGTACATAATTTTTAACAATTGTATGTTTTTCCTTAGTGTGTACCTTTATAATGCATAGAAATTTCCTGTTCTGTGAAATTCATTTTATGTTAGAGGAGAAGCCATACTTTGTGAACTTTTCCATTTCGCCAATTACATGACTTCTTAAATGTTGATGTTTATAATATACTTTATAGTCAACTTTTTTTGTGTAAGAATTAAACTCTTTAACTATGGGATACAATTTTATTTGTAACACTGTTACTTATGGAAGTTTTGCAAATGAGTAGCTCAAACAAGGAATGGTGAATGAATTCCTAATTATATAATGGCTAATTATACTGTAAATAATGAGCTTAAACATAAACAGCATTTTTTAAAGTATTTATTTATTTATGCTTACAGAACTGGGGTACGGGCCAGAGGTGTGTTGGGTGAGAAGATTCACCAGAGACTGAGTGGGAGCAGAACATGCAGATCAGTAAAGTAGCTGCTGAGGGGAGCAGTGGCCAGGTCAGGAGAGGTCTGCCACACCATGTGGGTCAGCTTCCTGGCAGGGGATCAAGCTAGCGCTGCAGTGACTTTGGAGAACTTCATAATGCTGTGCTTTCTTTAACCCGTTGCGCCACCAGAGAGAGCCCCATAAACAGCATTTTTTAAATAACACATTTGGTTTTTTTGTATGTGTGTGAGTGTGTGTATGTGTATAAGTTCATTATTCAGTTTTCTGTGAAAGTTGAAATATGAATTGTCAGGAAATAGCAACATAACCCGAAAGAAGTAAAACAAAAGGATAGCGGTAACCATCTCTTTAAAGAACAAAGGAAATATCCAAGATCTTTTGGGAATGATTGGTGTAATATTGGTCTGTGATCCAATATGCTTGACCTTGTCATTTTTGCTAAACTGTAACCTAGGAGAATGCTATCAGCAATATTTATCTGAACAGTATTGAGAGTATACTATGAACCTCAAAATAATGCTTTTTATAAGACATTACTTGTGAATACATTCTAGAAAGTGAGGATCAGAGTATTTTCACACGTAAATTTTGAGTGCAGCCATTATTAAAGATGGTTTTATTTTCCAAAATGTGCATAATTTAGGACAAAAAGCTGGTTTAGGGAAATATGAAATCAGATGTTTTACATCTTATACATAAAATAAAATACAAATTGTGATTTATTAAAGTGAATTTCATTTCAGAAAAGAAAATGGTTTTGTGGTTAATCCACAAGAGTTGCAGGGGTGGTGAGAGGCTTCATCAGAGACATAGTGGGGAGTAGAAGAGGCCGACTGACCAAGTACACTGCTCAGGGGAGCAATGTCAGGAGAGATCTGCCACACCATGTGGATCACCTCTGGGGCCGGGGATGGAACTCAGACTGAAGCGGCTGCGACCAGTTTGCAGTGCTGCATCCTAACCCATTGCACCATCAGGGAGGGCCCTAGCATAAATTTTTTATAAAAACAAGCACTAGTTTAAGGATTTTATTTATTCTTTGAATGTTATGGCCTATAATATTTTACTTCAAAGAAATAATAGAAAAAATTCCTTTGATGGAATTATTTCTCAGTGTTAATTGATTTCATTAAGCTATGTACTAGGAAAATATATATTCAAAGTTTACTATTTTTCCTTTCAGGGAAATCTTGAGGAGCTTGACACTTTTCATCCTACAGACATTAACCATCTTTTGGGGGTAATCTATACATTGGTAAGTCCCACTCATTCAAATTGCTCTCTTTAAAGGTAAATTTAATAAAGACTGTGATTTGGTTTTATTATAGTGCAAGCAGCATTTAGATGTATCATCATAATTGTTTGACTAATTAGACAATTGTTTTGTTATCCCAATGAAAATTTTAATTTTATAATTTCATTTTTTAAAGACTCTAGTGATAATAATATTAAAATCTTTAGATGTAAAATTTAGATTATATGTGGACATTGAAAATCAGTTTTTTTTCAAAACATTTAAAATTATGCCAGCGTTACTTATAATTTCAGCTGAGTTATTTTGACAATGGTTCACAAGCAGCAGTTGAATTCATATACATGAAAAGGATTGAATAGTACTCAAATAAGAGCAAATAAATCCTATTAGTTTGGATAATATGTAAGAATTATTTTCCTATGAAAATTCTGTTTTAAAGTTTGGTAATTGTTATGCATTTTATAGGATAAAAGCAAATATATGTTATATTGCTTTTATTTATTTTTCTCTAGTCTCTGTAAATAAGCTTAATTTTTCCTGGTACCATGGTTGTGAATGGCCCTTACCTCCTTTCTCACTTTTGATCTCTCTTTTACACACACATACTCATGCACACATTCTCTCAAACCTTAGAATCTTAAATGTTATATCTATTTCCCCATTAGTTAATTTGAACTTGCACAATTCCTGTAAAATTGTTTATGAGGCTCATGGTATGCCTTAACATGCTTTAGATCTATGATCTCAGAGGTTTTGGATGAAGCATTCCATAAATTAGAAATGTTAGATATTATGTATGGAGGTGTGTGTCTATATGTAGAGAGAAATTCTACAATCATTTGCTTATAATAAGTTGCCACTACCTATATAGATGGACAAATATGTTTTATTAAACATTTTAAAAATACAATGGCAATATCTATGTGTTCTGGTAAAATTTTGGGGACTCCAGTACTAATAATTCTTTGCTTTCTCCTCATTCTAAATGCCCAGAAGTTCAGTTGGATATATGCAAACTATAAAAAACAACCTCATTATAAGCATCAAATGACATGCTAAGACAGTGTGTGTTTATATGTTTATACATACAAATATGAATATTCATGAGACTGTTGTGGGCAGGATTGACTGGATCAAGGTTTTGTTGAGACAAGGAGTGCACTTGGTGACTTTATGTAACTATGCCCCTCTACAAAGCTTAGGGAACAGAATTCACAGAGGTTGTTATAGAAAAGCAAGAAACCAAATCGGAAGGAAACCTTCTATCACATGGAATGTCTCCAAAGATATCTTGCCAAGTTGATGTACTGACAAAAGAAGATTGATATTATTTGTGGTCACTATATGATAGAATTCCCTAGTGGTGCATAATCTTGCCAACTATGTAATCAGTTGCATTGTCAAGGATTGGTCGCAATCTGTTATACTCTGAGAAGGAAAGAAGTTTAAGTGGTTATAATAAGAAATTTAGCCCAAGTTGTTTCTGCAAGTGTCAATCAACATGCCTGTAAGTGTTGTTTTTCACAATACATCAGATAACTTCCTTTGGCTTTGGACTATAAATCAAGAGCTCCCACCTAAGCTCCATGTAATTGGAACTCATATTTAATTGGAATCAAGCCTCTATTTGAATCCGAAGCCAGACAGAGTGTGGGTGGTAAGCTATTTAATGACAAACTCAGGACTTTCCAAACTACTAAGCCTTCATTAAATCTTAAATATAAAAGCCTTTGTAATCATTGATTCCTCTTACTTTAGCCCTCTTCTAATTCAAAAACCTAACACAGCTGAATCAGTTAGGGATCTGTTTAAATGTACTGTTATTCAGGACCCAAATCTCGGTCCTTATCTTCAACATGCAAAACAGTTGGTGAAACACATACTATCTATCTACCTATCTATCTATCTATCTATCTATCTATCTATCTATCTATCTATCTATCTATCTATCTATCTATCTATCTTAGAGATGATGTTGCATTCCTTAAACCTAACAGTCTTGTAAATTTATTCTTATAGATCTTTACTATGATTTTCATTTATAGATCACCCATCTGATTTATGATGTATTTAAAGGTAAAGAAACTGAAGGATCAGTTTCTCTCTTACCAAGTCAGATCATATATAATATTGCTTTTCTTTAAATAAATTAAAAAAATATATCACCAGATGCTAGGTTCTCTATATTTTGGTCCTAGAATTTGTCTGTGAGTTTTCTCTAGGAAAAGACAAAGAAATCAGAGAAATATCACTTCATTTGGATTGAGTTTGTCCTGTTCTTTGTTATGTACAGTCAACCATGTCACAAGGTATCTGAAGTGTCTGCTTTAAAAAAAAAGAAAAGTTAATTTTTACCATCACACAATAGAGGTAAAGATTTAAGTAACAATGCGATGCGATGATGTATGGGCATAACAAGTAGGGTAGTTTGTTTCTTCACTAAATAATACATATCTAATATCCATGGCACAGAGACCCAAGACAAAATGTTTCAAGATTTTCTCAATTTCTCTAATTGAGTAGATTTCTAGGAGGATTATCCTTTTTTTATCAACAAGTCACCAATATATTTAACCTTTATTTTTGTCTAAATCTACCCTTTCCCCAGATTTCCCACCTAAGAGTTAGTCCAATCTGTATGTTCCCTCTTTTTATTTTATTGTTTATGGTTGAACTCATGTACAATATAGATTGAAAGATTATTTAATTAGATATGTAGTGACTTTCAAATCAATGTAGCTCCTTAGAGTCTCACTTCTGGGGAGCAAATTAACATATCTATTTGATAGTACAATACTTTTCAACTTGCAATATATTAAAATTGCACACACATTATATTCCCACAATCTTAACTTTTGTCTTTCCCATTCCAATCAATAGAACTACTATCTACCCAGTTTCCCCACTGCAAAAAAAAAAACAAAAAAAAAACAAAACATGAAAGCATCTGGATTCAATTCATTGAGAGAAATAAAATGACCACAATAGTCTAAACAAAGGACAGAAAATGGCTTTGTAACATAAAAAAAGGATGAACATCATCCTCAAGTAAAAACCAATGCCAAAGTATTTATGATTTAGTTCATTATATTTTTATTATAAGCTCAAATCTCTTTAATTTTTTAAATTAATTTTTAGTACACCTGGTGCTTAAATATATATGCATATATCTTTGTAGAACCACTGTATTATTCCCCAGTAACCTGGTCAAACTTTATGTTCAAAATTTTCCTTTGTGTGAAAATATCAACGAGAAAAAAGAGTTCTGTACCTGCTGTACAAATAACAAATCTTACTGGTGAAAGATCAAAATACCAAAAGAGGATGCTGAAGAGTAGATGACCCAAAAATTGGGCCTCTCTTGTGGTACAGGGGTTAAAGTCTTAGAACTATCAAGATAATAACCAACCACTGAAGCCTGAGTTTGATCCCTTGCCAGGGAGCTTACTCACATGGTGCAGCAGACCTTGTCTGTCTCACCCACTGTTCTACTCAGCAGTGTGAAATTTCAGTAGATTTGCCTGTCTGCTCCTCACTCTGTCTCTGGTGAATCCTGTCACTCCCTGCACCTCTGACCTACACCCCAGTTTTCATATCTATAAATAAATAAAATTAGTTAAAAATAATTTACATACTTAAAAAAAAAAAAAAGATGACCCTGAATGCTTTAGGAGAAGTTTCTTTATCTTCTGAAAAGGTAAAGAATGATGGTAAAGAAAGAAGTGTCTGTGAGAAATGGACAGTTGTGTAACTGTTGTCTTGGAGGAATGTGCATGTTCACAGATCTTGGAAGTAGTGCATAGATGTCATCATCTTCATAATTGGGTCATCACCTGACTATGGGCCACTATTATGTGAATTTTGGTATCTGAGACATCGAGGAAATCCATCCTCTGGTCTCTCTTCATTTGGTGTGATTTTACCTCTCATATGAACTTCTCCTGGTGGCCTCTCTGCTAGGGACACTTTCCAAATCTTACTGTTGTCTATTGAGGGTTCTGATCACAAGGAGTGACAGAAAGACAAGAGAGATTCCGCAAACATATCAGGCCAGAAAGGACCCTGCAAATGACCACCATATGGGCACGTGGCCATTGTTCTATTATGCTCTCAACTCCTCCCTCAGCATCTTTTCTATCCCATCTATGGAGATAGTGACTTATGGGTTTTGATTGTGGGACTTTGAACTTTTAGGAATTCCAGTGGTGTGGATTACATCTTACGGGCTTATGACCTGTAACTATGGCAAACACATAGATTCTTTTCTACTTTTTTTTTTTAAGTTGAATAGGATGTATCTTAGTATTTGACAGTTTTATTCACATTTTAATATGCTTGCATATGAACTTAATATGGTCAAAGATATTGCTTAAATGCATATGTTCTTTTTCCCCAGTTAGTGGGCCATATTTATGAACTAAGGAATCATTGTCTGACAAGTTGATGAAGGTCATATCCTATCCATCTCTTTCTACACCCCAGTTTAAAGCTTACACTTATTCCTCGGCTGTTTTAAACAGCATAATGAAAGTTTTCAACTATTTGATCAATATTTCATTTTTATTACTGGTAGAAACGTTGCCCCCCTTACATAATGCAGTATAATAAATTTGATTAGTTCTATTATGTTCCAACTTATATAGTGCAAGTAGTCAACCTCACCTCCCTCATGTGCGAGATTTTCAGGATTCTGACTCTATATTCTTATTAATGGCCTAACTGAACTGAATTAATTGAACAGACTTGCCTCTTTTTATTTACTGTAACAAGGCCAACTCTCCAGAGGAATGCCCAGTGTTGCAAACAATACATTCCCTGGTTTTCTGGATGGCCTTAATGGGATGTAAAAATCGATTGGAGCAATTTCTCTGTCACCTGAGAAGCACTGTAGGTTTTGTGGTATGTTGCAATTTTGTATCCTTCTCATGTCTTTTTAAAAAAATTTACATCACTAAATCAAGTGTTGTCCTTGCTTATGAGACCACAACTTCCTTTTTCTG